TCATCTGAAGGATGGCTTCCCAGTTACTCCAAGACATGCTACCATCCATTGCAATGACATTTGCTATGTCAGCTTCACTGAGGTCTCCCACAGGAAGAGTTGAGCTGTATTTCTTTGATCTCTTCCTATCCTAGGAAATTGCTTCATACAGGAACCATTTTACAGGATACCCTGAAGAAGTCCCATGAATTTAATACAAAATACCAGCCTGTGTTCAAAGCTGCATAATGTGTCATAACCTCTGCTTCACCCAGCTAATGGACCTGCAGGCACAGCTTTACGCTTTGAATCACTGCACTCCTACAGTCCATCACGGTCACTTCAGATCTCTTCTCCCTCTTGGCTACTCCCTTCCCAATGCTGAAGCTGGTGTTCTGCACCTTTTCTTACATGGGCTGCTGTCTAGTGGCACTGTACCTGGGCAAGAGCTCCTTGGGCACTTTCTTTAGCTGATGCTTGATACCTGGACATCTTTTCCTATTCCTCATCTGTGCAGAGCATTTTCCAGCCTGGCAGAAGTTGTGCAGTCCCCTGCTGCGTTCCTGATGTCTCTGTTTCCCACAGATCCAGAGGGAAACGCTGAAGCAGTCCTCTGAAGCAGCTTGGATATGCTTCTTTGCACCGAGAGAAAAAATGCAGAGAGAAGAGAGAAGAAATAACTCCAGGAGAGACAGTACAAGCTCTGCACAAATAGCTTCTCCTGGATTCCTGTGCTGAGCATGTGTACTGCCTGATGGGTTGAGCACTCATTGCACCTACTTTTGTTTTAAAGCAGAAAGAGAACAAGGCAGATGTAACTGGTTATTTATCACACAAAGAGAAATTGCAAGATGATCTATGCTCTCCTAACAGAAGTAGCTTGTGAGTTTTGGCCCTTTGCTGCTGATCCTGGAAGACCCTACTCCACGTGTGGGAGTTGCTTCTCTTGTGCCTTGTTTCTCCATGATGCAGGAGCAGCACAGCGGTGCAGGCTGGCCCCAGCTCCTGTACCTGTAGCCCGCTGGCCCAGCTCTACCTCCCCTGGGCCTGGTGACACGCGAGGCTTTGACGAGGGACTTGGCACCCCATGAGGACTGAATCCTTGTGTTTGCAGGCTACGGGCATTAGTACAAAGGTGCAGGGGAGTGCTCTGATTCGGGCAGCCCTGGCATAGGTGCAGTATAAGCTGTCCCAGCTGTCGGTGAGACCAGAGGGATAAACTCTGGTATTTGAGTGTCTTACATGTGTGTTTGCAGTCATGGATCAGTGCTGGCATCCCTTGCTCAGACAGATGCTTTGCAAACACCTAAGGGCACTAATGTTATACATGGACTTTCTGTGAATTAGCTCTTATGTAGGTAATTGGAGGTGAACTGATCATTTATTTTTCCCTGCTGCTATTAAGGATGCACTCCATATCTGACAGAAAATTGTGTATATGCTTCCTCAAGCCATGGTCGCTGAGGCAGACTGGGACTGTTTCATGGCAGCTCTGGAAAATAAGCTTTTATTCTTTCCAAATTACTTCATAAGGAGAGGCATCAGGTTTCTTGTGGCTCTGTAATCATGTCAGGGCTGAGGCAGAAAGCAGAAGTTATGTTTGTCTGATGCCCTTGCACCCAGAAAATATATCCTTTTCCAGAGCATGCGGCTTCTTCATCACAAAGAGAAAGGGGTTCAGGGCAAGCTTTCTCCCTGGAAGCCAGGGCAGATCTTTGGCTGTTTATTATGGTGCTTCCTCCCTCCCAGCCAGTGCGGCTGCATTTAAATGCATTGCCTAGCACTGTAAATCCCACCCAGGAACTGCTCTTGAGCATGGCCCTGCAGTTTTCTTCAGTCAAAACATGTTTACGTGCTAATTTACTGAGATCGCAGTAACCGCACCACCCCATCTGCACCCTGCCTAGCCAAATTATAACGCTGTGTTCTGGTGGGTTGAACATCTGACATGCTTTAAAATGAAGGGATGGCCAGCCAAGCGGTGGTCAGTGCTGCAGGCTGCCTGGGAGAGGGGGTGTGTTTGCATGGCCAGTGCCTTGCCCGGTGTCCCGAGCTGGGGGATACCAGACAGCCCCCCTCCTGGGGCAATGAGCCACTCCTCTGATCACTGGCAGTTGGCTGTGCTGGAGGTGAATGGGGACGCTTCTGAGGCTCCCCAGGAAGGCTTTTGACTGGTCTTCTGGGTGCTGCTCCCCTGCTGCACTACAGGCTGTCTAGATAACCCTGCAGCATGTCACTTCCTAGGCAGAAATCTGGAAGAGCCTTGCTCAGGTGGTTTTGGGCCAGAGAGCATCCACAAATGTCTTGCACAGTCTCACCTGCCAGAAACATCCATCTTTCTTTCTCCTGCATCCCCACCAGAGTGTGGTCTTCCTTTCCTTCATCCCACATCCACTGTAGGGACCAGAAGCCATTTCATACATTGCACAATACTGACCAAAAGTCTCTCCCTCTTGCAACAGAGGCATCATGATATTTCTGCAGCATCAGCAATGATTCCAGCTTGCTTGAAATTTCAGGAGCTACAGGGTGAGGCTAAAGCCATTTTTCATTTCAACATGATAGCCTCTACTGCCCAGGGGCTCCAAAACCCCAGGTGCACATTGAAAACATCACTCCATCCATTTCGGTGATGTTTCAGTAAGAAGTATTTCATTCTTACCCTGGGCTGTGTCAAAATGATGGGCTGACCAAAATATTTGGCTGCAAATTGTTTAGCATCTGTAGTCTTCAGAGACTCTCGGAGCAGGTTAACCCTCCTGCGAGGTTGTCCTTAAAAAAAAGTGATATATTGTGCTGTTAAAAGAAAGTTATCTGAGACACGGGATGAGACAACCTGTGTGGAAAGAGGGATAAGAAGAAGAGGCCACACGGTGTCTAAGTCAAGGTCCCTTGCTCTGTTCCAATGACTCCTCACACTTGGATGTGCCCTCTGTGTGACTATCCATGAGCAGAGCCAGTATTGTAGAGATGGGAGAGAGGATTTTTTAACCTTGTGAAGGCTAATTTCCTGGACTAGGCAGTGGAAGCCTCTTTGCTCCATCTGTATCAGGCTGAAGACTGCGGTTAATCACACTTCATTACAAGCTGAAGCAAAGCAGCACCAAGGAGTTTGCAACCAGCTGGTCAGCAAAGAGGAGAGGCCATAGAGGGAGGAACTGTGTTTCATAAATGTGGGTAAGGAGTATACATTATGAGCATGCTGGGAATAAAAACAAGCTTGTACCAGTGAATAGTGTGCCTCAAATTTCAGACCAGTTCCTGTGGGCCCACTTAAAGCTTATTCCAGTTTTTGAGAAGTCACTGGTTCCAGCAATATCCCCAATGTTTAGGAGCGAGGAATGTTGCCAGACCCTCTAGAGCCATGCCTCCAGAAATACGATGGAATTATTAAGCGCATTTAGCATTCCTGTTTATTGTTAGAGGCGTGATGTCTCAGCTTGTCTGTTGAGTTGCTTTTTTTCATGTAACACTCATAAATTCAAAAAGGGAGGAAAAATGGACAGAGCTCTGTTTTTTATACTGGGCAGGGGTTGTTTGAGCCACTTGGTCTTGGTCACGCCTGGCTGCTATGCTGTCCCTCACTGACATCTATGCAGAGGTCTTATTAGCATCATGCCGATGGATGGGCTCTCTGGGAAGGGAAGCGTGGTACAGCCTTCAGATACCCTCGTTAGAACAAAGCAGAAAACTTTTGACATTTTTTAATGTCTTTTTCTAATAAAATGAAAGTTTTTGACTTGGTTTTGAGCCAGGATGACAAAACAAAACAACTTTTTTGTTTACATTTCACATTTCTGGGGGAGGGGAGCATTCAGCTGAAAACTGGTGTGTTTCAGCCATGGGGAAAATTGCCTTCCTACTGTCTCTCCTTTTTTTATTGGAACAAATAGACACATAGTAAAAATGTGAGCCAGCTTCTTTTTTTGTTAATACTATAAAATAGGGAGCAAAGCCGGCTTCCCCTCATTTTCCTTTACTTCTTTATTCTGTCCTCTCTTTGCCAATTGGAAACAGAATGCAGAGTTACTTTGTCTCTGGAAACAGCTCTTGCGGGGCTTAGCTGTGTTTTCAATGCTTTCCAAACAGAAGAGCTTTTTGGAACCTACATGGTCTTCCTGAAGTTTTAGGGGTGAGGGCTGAGAAAATCAATTTGTAATTTCTGCTGTCAAGCTTGTTTGGCGAGGGGAAGAATTGGGGAGAAATATTCACAGGGGAAATTATATCGGCAATTTCCCTGCCGACTAATCAATATAAGGGACATTATACACAAATATGAATAAAAAAGCTAAGACTGCCTGCCCTTTTCCTATGTTTTCTTCTCCAACACTACTGTCAGCCTTCCCCTCTCATGAACAACCGATCCTTCTGAAAGTGCTTTGTTGTCTGCATAGCGTAGGCAGCTAGGAGCAGAGGTGGTGGAAGGTATATGTCCTTCTCATGACTCTGTTCAACTCCAAAGTAAACACATTTTCTCAGTTCAGGAGAAGAGATCCTTCACTAGTGACACTGTAGATGCAGATACTGTTTCTCTAAATCAGTAGCAGAAAGACAAACAGAACTGAAAAGCAGCTCTGTAGCAAGAGAGCAAGAGAACAGGCTTCACAAGTGCTTCAGCTGTGATGATAAAGATCCTTGCTCAACATTGGAAGTTTCTGATGCCGTGCCGTATGCTGCTCTCCTTCTTTTACAGAATAAAGATTGAGTATTAAATGAGATATAACAAGGGATCATTGATTAGAGTTATTGCTCTGGAAAAGATTAGGAGAGCATTTGGTTTTCAGTTTGAAAATAAAATTAAAAAGTCACAAGTCTTGAAGGAACTTTCCAGTGTGGTTTTCATCTGGCTTGGCAGGTTTCTCCTGGAGAACAGAAAGCTGAAAGAAGATAGGAATTAGGAAAACATGCTGTGACCCGGATAGAAATTCTTCAGCAAAAAGGGAAATGCAGAAGCAAAATGATATGTAATGAAAGCCAAAAATCTTCTTTAACCATGTTTGTCTCTCTCGTTTCTTCTGCAGGGCCAAATATTTCCAGGGGAAGAAGGTGAATGGAGAATTTGATATCCGAGTGGAACAGGTCAGTGACAACTAAATTTGGCTCTAAGAAATGTGCGTGGACAGGGTTGAGGTCTTAATGACAGATAATCTGTGGATACTTCTTCTCTTGAAGAAAGGAACTAATGAGGAGTTTTAAGACGTCCATTTTATAGAATTGTGGAAGCTATAAATGAAAATATCTTATTGGGCCATCCCTTCATCCTCCCTACCTTTGCAGAATGAGTTGCTATTTCACCTTAAAATGAAGTTTTCTGTTCTGATGATGGGATTGTAATTTCTTCCATTGGAAGACTACCTCACAGCTCTGTATATATGCCTGAAAAGGTGCAAAGCCAGTATGCTACAGCACTTGTTGGTGATGTTATGTTCCATGTGCGAGCTATACAAGTCTTCTGACTTACCCTGATTTAAGCCTAAAGCCTTTGGTTTAAGTGTGCAAAATAACTACATATGGCAATATCTTTTTATCTGTTGAAAGTCCATAGGAACAGTAAGGAGGTTCATGGCCTGTTTTCTGATGTGCTCTGCAGGGCATTGGACAAATTCTCTGTTTCTCTGTTAGCCTTGGCACCAGCCATTAATTTCAGTTGAAAACTCTTCATGTTGGGGCCTGTCCCTCCTCCCTGTGTTGGTGCAGTGTCTGTCAAAATAAAGTCCGAGTATTGACTGAGACTTTGGATGCTGTTGTCAAAGTAGAAATTATTATTAATGATCATCTGCAGGTGCCTAACTTGAAAGCAGGCATAGGAAGAGAGAGATGCAGAGATAAGCTGGTGATCCTGAAGGAATGATATGCTTGTTTCATACTTGTTAGGGCTATAAAACTGCTTGGATGGATAAAGAAAGCTGGTGAATGTTGTTTGAATGACGTGATATTTTCTGTCTTTATAAAGCTGTTGATTCTGCATCGTGTGTGTGTGTGCAAGCATGTGTGTATGTGTATAGAATTATTAATGCAGTGGTTTTGAAGACTTTCTCAGGACACATTGCCCTTGATAAGGTGTTCCTTCTCCTTTCAAAGGGGTGCTGTCCAATTGCCCAGGACTATACATGAGCACACATGTTCTGATCAAAGGCTGTGTCTGGGACAGAAAAGTTAGCAAGTCATTTTTTTGCAGCTATGATACTACGAACACTTCATTTTCCTCTTTTTATTGGTATCACACTTGTCAGTACTGGGTGGTATTAGCAAGAACAATTCTCACTTGCACTTCCTTATCAAAGTCTTTATTTTGCTGGCTGCCTCAGTAAATGTCCTAGAAGAGAATAGGAAAAAAAAATTTAAAAATCACACTTCTCACATAGAAGCATGGAATCAAATAATAATTCAGATTTTCCCTTCAAACCTCTGATCCAACCCGCTCCTGCTCAAAGCTCAGTACTGGGTGGTATTAGCAAGAACAATTCTCACTTGCACTTCCTTATCAAAGTCTTTATTTTGCTGGCTGCCTCAGTAAATGTCCTAGAAGAGAATAGGAAAAAAAAATTTAAAAATCACACTTCTCACATAGAAGCATGGAATCAAATAATAATTCAGATTTTCCCTTCAAACCTCTGATCCAACCCGCTCCACTGCTCAAAGCAGGGTCAGCTTCAAAGCTAGACCTGGTAGTCTTCAAACTGACCTGTTAATTCTTTCCTAAACCTCCAGCCTCTTGCCTTTCCCCTCATAGTCCTTCTCCTCAAATGTTATTGCACTTGAGGTCCTTATAAAGGAACTATCTTCAAATGGTTGGTGAGCGGAGAAGGGCAGAAGTGGACTCTTGACCCCTGATGGGTTAAACCCAGTAATGACCCTCGTCATCATCACTAGGTAGCTTACCACATTTCCCCAAGGACTCTTTCAGGGAGACTTTCCCAGTCTGTCTCTTGAAATCCTTCACACAGGCTGAACATTCATGTTTGAGATGAGGCAGCAAATTGCTCCAAGCAAAGACCATAAGGCTGGTGTGACTCTGCTGGTGAGGACCATTGCCAGGCCCCTTGCAGCCTTCTTTAAATACTCATCATAGTGACTGCAGCGTTGCCCAAGGGAATGAAGCGTGCAGTGGGTAGGAGAGTTGAGGAACAATGAACAAGGGCCCCAGCTGCTTCCCCTCGCCCCCTCCCTGCCCCTCAGATCAGGCAGCCAAGCCTCCACGTAGCAGGCAGGGAACTGCTCTTGACTCCCCCAGACCTCGAAAGCAGAAGGGATGATCACTTTCCCCAGCTGGATCACTGTCTGTCAAGGGAAACACAGAAGCTGCATTGTCATGGGCAGTCCTCGAATCTGACCTCAGGCCCCTCTGCATATCGTTGAGGCCAAGAGAGGGGCACTTCTTTCTTCAAACTCTGGCTTTTTGTCCCCTTCGTTTTTTGCCCATCCATCCTTGCTCAGTATTTCTTGATATTTAATTTTCAGTTATTGCTCCTACCCTGGTTATCTGGAGCCTTCCTCGCTTCTTCATTCTCTTCTTCAAGCACAATCCAGGAGCCTAAACTGTTGTGCAACAGGTCCCCTGAGGCTGAACACAGACCCTCTTGACCTGAAAAATGAATGTTCTTCCATAGTCTCCTTACGGAAAAAAAAAAAAGCAGGGAATAACTGTGTTTACCAGCCTGGTTCACACCTTTCTCTTTGAGTTCCCAGCTCACCAGTCTTCACTACTATAACTGTTCCGTGAACGGTGCACAGACTGTGCCATGGTGCACAAGCCATAACCTGGCTGTTGAATAAACTCTGCATCAGATCAAGGTTTGACTCTCGGACACCTCTTGAGCCACTTGGTCTGCTCAGTAAGTTCATTTAGTTTTTCAGTTTTTCCATTTGATTCTGCTTCAGATAACCACATGTTATTGGCTTGGCCAGAAATACAGTTTGCCTTAGGAATTTTTTATATTTTATAGGAAAAACCACTTTTGATCTGAAAAGCTAAATAACAAAAAAGTTTGAATGGCAGAAAGCAGTGAAAGGAAATATCCAAATGTTAAATACTCTTGAAAAACCACATTGGGAAAAAGCAACTGCCCTATTTTTTCTGACCGTGCTAATTTTTTTTGCCATTCTTCCAGGATGCTTTGTAGTTGGTTTAAACTGAAGGAAGAGTTTGCCTTGTTGCTTTTTCTCTTCATCTTTCATCTCCAGCTCTATTACATCTTAATTCTTTATTAGCAAGCCATTTCAGCAATCTTTGGGGGAAGCAGAGCAGGATAGTAGGTGATTTTTTTTTTTTAACATCATGACATCACTTATTTGTAATGGAGCAGGAGTGCTGAAAGCAGCGCTGTCTCTCCCTCTCTCAGCAGCGGGAAGTCAGTTATCTAATCTGGTTATACACCCCTACCAGCTCTCTGAGCTGCCTCTCCCCCTTGGCTGTCATCCGAGGAATGCAAGACGTATGTGATCATGCTGTCTCTCTCCATCTATCCCCCACACCCAACACTGTGGAAGGCACTGGCTGATTTCAGCCAAATTGGAGAAACAGGCAGAAGTTTCAAGATACGAAGTTTCTACAAGAGGTGAATTCAGTTCGTATTAGACACTGGGTAATCCGTAGGGAAAAGACTGTTAAATGCCATCCTGCTGCTCAGGGAGCTGCTTCTGTAAGTCTCAGCCTCTATGAAAATAGGTTTTATGGACTCTCAAAGAAGGTTTTCTGGTTCTTTAACACAGAAGTTAATTTCATGACCTCAATACCGCTCCCAGGCCCTCGTCCTTCAGCTAGGTCCATTACCACTAGCAAAAGACCTGGTGCCAGTGAATAGGAGAGAGAGTTGTCAGGGACACTGCGGTGGGTACACCCTCTCCAGCCTTTGCTGTTTCCTGTCATTCATCAAAATGAACATGAGGCCTGACTTTGTTTCCACCTTTGTTTCTTCTCTTCTAATCTTCAGCGTAACACACAAAACATATTCATTAATGTGCTTTAGAGGCAGTGGGATTTATTATTGCCCACCCTTGACTGAAACCCAGGCAAGTAATGCCATTGCATTCTCCCTGCTGGCTGCAGGGGGAGAGGCGCGGGGCTGAGTGAGGGCTGGGGCAGTGGGAAGCAAGTGCAAGTGCTCTCCCGAATCAGGGCCACTTTTTCTTTGGAGGCAGTTTGGATTATATTTTGATTATTTGGATATTTTTCCACTACAAGTCCTTCTGTAGCAATGAGTCATTCATAAGACTGAATGAAACACTGATCAAAAAGTGAAAATCTATTTATTTGATCTATTCCTATTAAACCCCTGATGTTTTAAGTTTTATTCAGTGTAGCTAAACCCCTAAGCTTTAAAGAGCAGCTGAGTCTAAAAATACTATCACTATTTTATGTTAAAAATAAGGTTCTTTTAGGTTTTGATCCATGTTGTTGCTTTTACTTGCCTTGTGATTTCTAGCTTTGAGAACCGCAGTGAATACATCTCCAGTTCTTTCCTCTAGAAATACAAACGCTAGAGAAATTCTTTTAGAAATGAAAAGTATAAGTTTGATTAAATGGCTCTAAGGCTAAGTTGAGCTTAAAGAAGAATCTTAAGGTGCCACAGGAGTTCACCACATTGCTTTTAGTGTCTCACAAAATTAATTTTGCTTTTATCTTCTCAGTCCTTCACTGGCCAGAGGACAGGAAGCATTAAGAAACACAGTATATTCAGGAAGAGGAGGAATTTTACCATAGGTCTTATGTACTGTCAAACATTTTCCACCACTAGAGGTAACTGGTAGTAATTCAGCACCTCCTTCCCCACCCTCTCTGCTCTGTCCCAGAGAAAACTAAGCCTTGCATGCTCTAAGGATTTCATATGACTCTGGGGTTTCCCATATGGATCATAACATACCCCAGGTGGAGGTCTCCTTGGGCGTTAGGCATGCCCCATGCACAAGGGGGATGCCGAATGGCCGTGCATCCCCAGCACACCCGGGTACAAGCAGAAGAGGGCAGGAGAGCCAGGGCTGAGACCTGGACAACCACAGACACATCAGACAGACCGTGACACTGCGGGCAGTGGCCAGATGAGTGGGATGCTTGCCACCTGTCTGGGAGAGAGATGCCC